CTTCTCTCAAGTGAAAAATGATCGGTCGATCAAAATCAATTTTGATATTCATTCAGTCGTAAATCATCCATTGTTCGTCTGTCATGAATTTTTTTTTTGGAATGTAGCAAAATTGTTTCAGATATCTTCATCTTCAAAAAGCCAATTTCGGAAGTGAATAGTTTTGCCGATTCCTGTTAAGATCTTTCTTTTTTCATAAATTTTCTTTCACCAGTGACTTTTCTAAGTGGAGTATTGGAACTATTTGACGTGTCATTCGCTCGACTGCTTCCAATTGATTTTACATGCCATGGTGCTAAGTTATTTATTGCCCGAAAATTTGTTCAATTTGTGCGTCCGTATGGCGTACAATTTTTTTCTCGCTTATCAATTGTGTGAATCAAAAAATGTTTATTTTAGGCAACCCCAAAAATTGGGCCCAACTTTGCGCTTTTAAATGCACGAAAATCCACGGTTTAAACTCGTGTTAAAACGTTCAAACAGCAAATTATGAACAAATTATTTTGTGCTAAAGCAACAGCTCATAATGACGAAATGTGCCGTAAAATGAATTTGTTGGAATATTGAGGCACAATTTATTTAAATTTTCAACGATTAAAAATATCAATTTCGAACGAGCCAACAAAACCGAAAGAAGCGTGCACCAAAATGGAATCGTGGCTAATTTATTCACCTGATAATTTGTGTAATGTGTGTGTGTGCTTACTGCCGATACATGTTTGTAAAGCGCATTGCATCGAAATGTATGCTCATCACATATTCGTCGTCGTCAATTCTTTGTGTATGTACAATTTGTTGCAACATATGGTCAGATCGCGTGCTTTACTAAAAATGATGGAACACACGATGAAATGCACACAAACAACAATAACAATTTACTCACAGAAGCTATGAAAATCAGTCGGAAATTGTGCTATCGGCGATGGTTTTGACGATTTTTTTCTGTCTTTACGTTCTGTTCATTTGTTTCACCCTCGTAAACACATCGTCAATGATCGCAAACAGAAAATTACGATTGTTTATGGACTCATTTGAATTTCAAATTTTATTCGTGGAATTTTTTTTCTTCTTTTCTTAACAATTTGAAAAAACAAATACACACTCTTTCAATACAATTCAATTGCAACCACTTTTAATTTGTAAAATGCAGTGGAAAATTCTAATAGATATTTCCAATTTCTTACGCATCGAGAGTCAGCAAATAAATTGACTTTTACAAGGTTGAAGAACATTGGAACATAATTCACCTGAAGGCGTCTTGTTATTGGTACCATATGACTCGGCTTAGAATGAAGGAATGTCTCACTTAATTCATATTTAATATAATTACATTGTATTGAGTTTCTTTTGTCAAAGCAATCATAGTGCTACATAGACCGAAGCAGCGTCAATTTGAACACAAGAATGTATTTATTACAACTTCATTGATTTAAATGCTCATTCTCAAAGTATTTTTCAAGCATAGTAATGATACAGTATTCAACCCCTTCTGTTCACATATTAAAATCACATAATAACAACATAATACTATTTGAAAAATGATGCCGGATCAATCTTATTTCGCATTACATTCCAAAAGTAAATAATATGTCTCGCAATATTTGAGATCAAGATTGTGCCAAAAATGGGTTGCCCATTACGATTAAAATTTTGAAAAAAGTCAAACAGTTCTGCATTTTTACCTGGTTTTCAGATGATTCAATTGTGATATCAAGAATTAAACGGGAAGTGTTCAAGATTTTGTAGTTCGATATAATTTATAATTATTAGTTTAATGTGTTAAAGTTTATATATGCTTCTCTGTGATTTTTATGTATTGAGAGGATGTATAATTTGATTCCCAAGTGAAAAGTTAAGATTTTAAATCACTGAGTAAAAAGAGAAAATGTGTTGAATGTAATTAGCAAAGAGTTTTACAACTTCAAAGCAAATATATGCCATCGTAATTTCTTCGGTGGGTTTTCGCTCGGAAATTTTACACAAAAACCACTTCGAGAGATAAAATACTGAATGAATAAATAAATACAGCGAACATTGTGTAATTTAGTCGAGTGAAATCACTTTGATAAATAAAATTCAATATACTTTGCTGAAAAAGTTTCAGTGCTCTTGTTCAAAGCAAAAATTCAAACAAAAACTCTGGCAGGCGTAAAAAATAGAGTATTTTTTGTATGAGAACAGTCTCATGAGTGAACACTTGTAGTTATATATCGTTGTATATCATATCGTTTTCAAGTCTCAGAGAATTTGGGCTGTCTTTATTTACTTATTGTCCTGTTAATCGGTGGAGAAAAAAAAACTTCGTGAAACGTTGTACAAAGCGAAAAGAGAGAGTTTTGTGTGTATCGATGTGAAGTTTTGTTGTTGGGAACAACAGAAGCTGTCCAAATATTGTCGTTGTGCTTGTTTCAAGCGACAAAAAAGAGACAAGATAGGTTTACTCTGTAATTGTATAGCATATCGAAATACAATGTACATGATCGAATCAGAATTGCATACAATCACGTACAACAATCGTAAAAAGAGCAAAAATACAGCTTTAACTTATTTGTTTTGTTGTAGTTAGAACGAAGATCTAATTACATATTGTAAATTGTTCACTGTCAATAAACTCTCGCATCGCACGGCATTTTTCGTATAAATTTGTCGCTCGTTCGGCGCATCCTGTTCAAACTCTGAACAGATCAGCTAATCGTGAACCTTAATGATTTAAACAAATAAAACCAAATGTAAACAAAAAAAGAACCGTTTTTGATTAAATAATGCACTCGTGCGAATTTCCTAATGTGCTTTTCATGGAAATTAGCTGTTATTTATTGTAAACACGCGTGTACCAAAACAAATGAAATAAACGAGTTTAAACAAACGGACCACAGTTTCTATTCGACACATGTCTATTTAGAGCGGATATTATGCCGTTTCATTTGATATTCGCATCACTTTGGGTTCTTTTTTGTCGCAAATTTTTCATCCCTAATATTTAATATGCATAATGTAATAGAATGCCATCATTGATACCATGCAAAGTGATCTCATTCAAATTACAATGATTATAGATCAATGATATGGTGATCAAAGCATTCCCATATCATTTATGGGTAAAAATTAGCATAAAAATTAGCTAATCACTCCTATACAAAACGATTGAATATCAATTTTCATTGACAACAAACATAAACACTGTTCGAATTCTATGTTAATTTATGCAAATGATGTAGTATAGTGCAAATTTCTGTGCTGGTGTGCAAAATTCTTACAATTGCAAACCTTTTTTTGGCCAACAACCTAAATCCCGATTTGGGTGCAATTCTTTCTATTGTTCCCGAGAAATGCATTTGAATCTCAGAGATGAAAAAAGAGGCTAACATTATGCAAGAAAAAAAATGACGAGGTGATAAATAGCATTTTTTTATGTGCATGCGCAAACCTTGAACGTTTTTCCATTCTGATTTACTATTTGTGCACATGAATAACAATCATATTTATTATTTTTTGTTTACATGTTCCAATGTTTGAACTAGCTTAGACTCACACCCAATCCATTATTTAATCGTATATTTAAGCGGCGCTACCGATTTTTTTTCCACAATGAACTCTGACTCTATTCAAACGCATCCCTTCACATTGAATACGTTTCTTTAAAATGAAAATTAAAAAAAAAATCAACCCCTTTGCCGCTTTGAATAACGACCGCTCTTCCAACTGCAACATTGAAACAACTATTTAAATGTTCTATTTGGGATTTAAGTTAATAAAATCATCGTTAATCCTTTGGAATTTAAAATAAACAGATTAATCACAACAAACCAAAAATAACAATTGAATTTGATCGAGTAAATTTAAAAAAAAAATTCAATGAGGAAATAAAATTGTTTTGCGGTTGTTCATTTTATAAATTGGAGAGAAAATTAGACTGATTTCAGAAATTTTAGAAATTAAAACTTTGAACAGTCTTCACTGACAACAATCTTTCCGTTCAAATACCTCCAAACGAAAATTGGATCAAATTGCAATATTTTTTTTTTTTTCATTATAATTTCCATTTTTTGTTACACCAGATTCGACTCATACCTTGAAGATATTACCGTCTGCATTTCAATTGAAGCTTCAATGGTTTGTTCAAAGTAAACCAGATGGCATTGATATTTCGGTGAAATGCTTTGAAGCTATAAGGTTCAGTGGTGACCTCTCTTATAAATCTTTCGCAAATGAAAAAGAAGAAAAAAAAAATGAAGAGAAAAAGGAACGAATTTAAATTTGAAAAGAAAATTGTATTTGAACCAGAAATAAATGTTACAAAATGATTGATTTACCAAATGTCATCAAAATCTCGTAGACTGACTACACCATCTCCATCGATTGCACGAGTATCGGCGATGTGCAATAATTCCATCAATGCGTCGTCATCACGAACAATTTCCCGGAAACTTTGTGCCATTTTTAACACACAACAGTAATAGATATTATACCAAATTAAACAATCAAAACACATGTCTTCCGAAAACGTCTGCAAACAATACTGCGTTGCGGTCGCACAGTGTGCATTTTCGATGTGACGAATTTGAATAAATTGCAAAACACCACAACAACACCACCACAATGGAATAAAAAAAATTGTGTCCGTGTACAAATGCGGTCGTCATCAATATATATAACAAAGTTAACGACACCACCGTAATGGAATGAACATAAAGTCGCAGCAATGAAACGACAGTAACACCAAAAAATAAAAATGTCCATTAAAATGAAATTTATAAACAATTTGATAATGTTTTTAAAACAATAATTTAATTATTTTCTTATTGTTTAGCTTAAACTGAATTTACATATACAATTATTATCATCATTATTGTTGAGGGTTTCAAATTGAGATATGCGTAACAAAATTGAACGAATTATATTGCCATACATTCGTTACATATAAAATGTCGATCAAAAATAATATCAATCAAGAGTGAACGATTTCTATAGTAATTTCAATTTCAAAATTACATCGCTAATTCGCTACAAAAAAAAGAGTATATTGTTTTTATTTTGTTTTCATTCGGTGATATTCTTGTCACAAATTAGATCTTAAAATATTCTAAAGCAAATATAAATTTATATATGGCTCATTTACAAATTAGCTAAAAACATTCAATACTTAATTAGCTACACGGTTTTCGTTTGCATTCGTTTCATTTTCGTTGTTATTCACTATTCGTTTGATGGATTTTTATTCTTTCTTTCGTATCTTTTAAAAAATCAATAGATAAACTATTTTTAGCCTATGAATTGAGTTAAGTCTGGTAAACTAAAGTCCGTTGTTTGCCAACTGGTTGTTTGCCAAGTTGCAAGTGGACGTGAACGTGTGATTCGCGTTGATGGTGGCACACTCAAACCGGCAATATTGCTTGATTGTGTACTTTGGAGAACTAAACCGCATTGGGCACTGCAAATATCATCCGCTAAAATTGCATCTTTTGACCATTCACGGGCCAATTGAGCACAATCGGTGATACGAAGTGATGCACATTGTGCCTATGGAAATAGAAAAAATAACATTTTTTTTTTTTAATTGTAATTTGAATTTTTAAACAAAGATTTTAAATGAAGGGAACTACTAACGCCTTCGTTTGTACAAATGCAGCTTGTACAAGGGGATGGGAATGCAGACTGACCGACGGCTACTTGACGACCACCAATTTGACAGCCTGAAACTGTGTTCTCTCTCCAGGCATTAAAGTCGATTTGTGGCATTGTATGACATGGAACTCGTGGATTTCTATAGACAAAACAAAAATTAAATTCAATTATTTTGTTCAATCAAAGATCTGAGAAAATTGAATGTGAATTCAATTCACTTCGACTTACAAGAAATTGCTTGGTAAATCGAAAGCAGCCCGTTGCATATCGCCTGGATTATCCATGTTATCGCAAATAATTTTCGATAATGTAGTTTTTCTGACTTCGTTCAATTGGGCTTCGGTGAATTTAAGATTTGGATCATCTGTTTCGTACCAAAATCGATCACATTTTCTCAATTGTCGGAATTGAATACCAATGATGCATGCAAATGTTGGTCCCACCAATCCACCTTGCAAAGGTCTGTAAAAAATATATTAAATTGGAATAAGTTTATCAATCATATAAATAGATTTCTAATGTCAAAACATTTTAAATTACCTTTCTGACATACCGCCAGGGAACAAATCAATATCATCGACACTTGCGTAAATACGTTTGAATCGGTTGATAACTTCTGGTGGAATTTCTCGACTTAAATCTTCCCACGTTCGTGCACGTTTCAAGTTACACAATGCACGATAATTGTTATACGATGGAATACCATGGTCACGAGCACGTTGTACATTCAATGCAATTAAATCGACACCCGAAAATGGAATGCGTCTATCTTCGAATAGATGATTTGATACTTCGCCGGTAATGAATTGATCGAGTGTTTCCATTGGTGTGGCGACTAAACCCCGTGCAATTTCATCCATCATTTCTGGTGCCATCAATGCGTCCATTTTAAAGAAGAAATCACGAAGCAAAAGTGGTGGATCAATTGGTTGATGATTGGCACTCAAACGTGGAATGTGTGGTCGCAACAATGAATGTCCGATACGATAAGCAGCTGCAGCAAATTCAGTGAAAATCGATGGATTACATGTTGAATCATATTCCTTGTAATAGCCCTGTGGCAATAATTTCAAACCATACAAATTGACAGCATTCCAACTCAAAAGACGTGGCAAAAATTCATTGTAAGTAATGTGTTGATTTTGTGCCGAAACGATGCGACGAGCCTCTTGGAATGCTTTTTCATTGTCCCAATGTGGATTAACAGCACGCAGACCATCAACAAGACGATTGTGTTCACGCATGAAAATCGTATGGATAGCAGTTAAACCGGGTTGTTCAGATGCACGTCCATCACCAGCAATGAAACAGTAACCACTTGGTGATTTACATTCTGGATGGGCATCTGTTCGTGGCAACAATTCCTTTCCGCGAACTGGATGGAATGTTGAATTCATACGACCTTGGAAGCTACGCAATTTATTTGCCAAGCATGTATTTTCACCATAAATTTGTGATGCATCGAGGAAAGCAGTGTTTTGATTGATTTGTTCACGTGGTCCTAATGTTTGTTGACCTGGTAACGATCTCATGAATGGGAAGCACATTCGTTCACCGCTTGTTACATTCAAATCTGGATAGAAATGATCACCCTGTGGAATTGGAATGGGATTACATTCCGGATGTACGGTACGTGGTGAATCGCATGAACGACACTGTGGAATCGATTCGTGAAAACCTTTGTGAATTGGTGTCATCGTTAAATCGTGATCCAAGAATTGAGCAAATTGCATAACCATCAATGAGTAACGCGTGTGTAAATTTGAAATGTCTGGATGAATGAGCGATGAAATTGTACGTGGATTTGGCAATGGGATACCAGTTATTGATGTTTGACGTGGTCGTGATACGCCATCTTCATAGACTGGTGGCAACAAACGATTGAACGTTGTCAATGATTTTCCCCATTCGGGATTACGAACGTTATTACAATGTGCAGTCATACTTCGGTATGGTGTCGTTGGATCACATGGTGCATTAAAGTCTTCACACTGTGGTTCAAGGGAAATTGGTGAAATTGAACCGGTCAACAATGTATTGACGTCTATGTTTTGCAAACTATTTTGGAAATCGTCACGGAACACACCAATCAAGGTATTTGTATCGAATGTTTGACGCTTACGACGGTGAATTCTGCGAATTGAAAAAAGATTTACTAAATTTAGTTTTGATTTTTTATTTGCTAGAATTAAAGAATATTTATTTACCCTTGTAAGGAGTTCAAAATTTCATTTGAAACAAATTCAAAGAAGAGTGATGAATTTCCCATTTTCACTGCATTTCGATTCGCTTTACTGAATGAAGCAGCTGTTCCATCTGGAGATCGTGCATCGATCCCGCCGTCTAAAATTTACATGAAATTTCATTAAAATTTCGAGTACACATAAACAAATTATTGAATATTTACTGTTTAACCATGACTCGTATTCGAATTTTGCACGTTCGTTCATGTCAAATTTGGCCTTTTCGATGGCGGCCCTAATAAGGCTTTCATTGAGTTCTTCATATGCTGGAGTTACAGATGATTCCTCTTCAACAGCGGATTCAGTTGTGAATTCTGGTTCCTCATCTGATTGCCATGCAGATAAATCAAGTCCTTGCAATTGTTTGCATGTTTGACGATAATTCCTACAAACAAATCCGAATTTTGATTGAATTACAATATTTTCACATAAAATAGAAACGGAAAATCAAACACTTACAAGTATGGATCTTCTTTAATGAATGCTTTTGGTTGCGATAGTTTTAAACCGCCAGCTGTGCACATCAATCCAGACAAACTGACTCGACGAATGGCGCTCAGTTGATCCAAGTTCAATGATGATGGTGGAATGTCGTTTTCATACCAGAATCGATCGCCGTTTCTCAATTTATCGAATTGAATTGATAGCAAACATGAAAGTGTTGGACCAAAAATGGTACCCAATGCAGGTTTTTCCAAAATTGCACCGGCCAATAGATCAACATCTTCAGCATTTTGATAAATTACTTCCAATGATTTTTTGCTGTCGCTGCTCAAGCCGCCGTACAATTCCAGATCATTGAACGATACTTTTTGATTGAGATTTGGAAGACGTTCTTCACACAGATTCAATGCTTTGTAATATGGTGGAATACCGTGATCACGACTTCGATGAATGGCCAATGCAATTGGCGACCAGAATTGATTGAATTCAAGATTGTTTGGTTTCAATGTTTTCAGCATGGCCGATGCGCCTAACAGAGTTTCAACGGTTGTTGATTCGTTTGTCATTCCATTTGGCAACATTGTCATAAATGCTGGCAAAGCGCTTGTTGCAATTTCATTATAAACACCTGGTCGAATAGTGCTTGAGTATCCATTGTAGTGTTTACCAAAGACCATTCTGCAAATAAAATCAATCATTAATTCATTCTAATTCAAATAACAAAAAAAAAATACATACGCCAAGTCTTTGTTGGCTATTTGTTGGCCCAAGATAATTGGAAGGAATTCATTGTATGTGATGTGTTGAATTTGAGCAACAAGAGCACGTCGAGCTTCTAAGAATAGAACGGAATCACTCCATGTTGGATTTTTGTCAGACAAAACGGTGGCAATGCGATTGTGTTCTTTCAATAAAAGTGTGTGTAGTGCACCAACAGCTCCCGATTCCGTACATCGTGGACAAGCACGAATGTCAACTTTTCCAGCTCGGAATAATCTCAACGAATTCATTTCCTTCTCTGTTGCACCATACAAACTTGATCCATCAACAAAACCAGATGCTAAATTCATTTGATTTCTGTATTTCACATCACATTGACCTTTTTCAATTGATGGCACTGAACGTTTGTATTCTTTACAATTTGAACCTGATCGTACATAGCATTGGTCTATTTCTTCGGTGGTTGTATGTTTGCCATTGTTTTTGCAACATTTCAAACTGCCTGACAATGGTGAGAATTCAGCAAGATCATAGCTGATCAATTGACCCCATGCTGGTACCATGGCCGTAATATGTGGATGCAATAACGTGTCATCAATCGATTTTTGTAGTTCATCAATTACAAAGTCGGCCGCAGGTAACGCATGTGAACCGGTCGAAGTTCTCGGCTGTAGTCGATCATCTGCATAGCTTGGTGCCAACAATCTAAGGAATGCATCACCTCGAGCACCATAACCACGGTTCAAGATGTTGTTACATTCACCGGTCGCTGAACGAAATTTGCTTGGCGGACATGGAACGGTTTTCTCATTTGGGTCACATGTATTAAGATTTGTTTTTTCCAATTTCAATGCAAGCCGAACACGCGATTTTAAATCACCTGGCACCGATCGCGAACAATATCCATTTGCGACTAGAAATATGCTACAAAAGACGAAGAAAAAGAGAAAAAAAAAACAAAATATATAACATTAACCATTAAACATTTGAACTTGCTTAATGTGTTTTCTGTTTGTGTGAATGAAAAAAATGTTAAGCATAACAATAAATGAGCAAACATACACTACATGAAAGAGATAGCACCTGCTTTTCGTGGGCAAATGGAATGTTTTCAACGTAGGTCAAATGAAATGTGAAACTTATACTTGGTAGTTGTAAGCGAAAGTAAGTTGCAAATGAATGTAAATGATTGTGTACAAAAACGATGTTCAGCAAAGATCGAAAATGCATTTTAAAGTGAAAAATTATGATTATGACTTTGCACCGAATTTTTATGCGTTTAATGTAAAATTTTGGCCAAAAATAACACGCATGCAAACAAAAAAGAGAGAAGAAAACTATTTATATTGGTATCGTAATGCAGTGTGAAAAGCTGACCAGATCCAGTTCCGTTCATGGTATTTATTGGTTATTTATGTGCATAAACGTCATCAGCTCAAAATGATAACCACTCGAAATACCCGACTTCCATTCATGATTATATGTTACAAAAGAAGATGGTCAAACCGTGCAAAGAGCATGACCAAAATGAAAATTATGCAAACACCTTTTATCGCATGGACAATGTTTCGACAACATTGTTTTTTTTACATTATTCACACTTTCAACAACAACAACGTATATTTCATTCCACTTTGCATGAAATTGAAATTTCTTTTTATCGCTTTGGTTTTTTATAAATCATGAAATTTATTAGGAATTCCTGTTTCGAGTTAAATCAATAATACTGAACCAGGTATAATAACAGTAGTCATTCCAAGTCAGTTTAATAAATGGTATTTTATGCATTCAAAGGTTGAAAAAGTCACCTATCTTGTCAATATTGTGATTTTTATCCATTTGATCGTCTAATCGAAAAAAAAAACTGATAGTTCTCTTTTAATGAATTCCATGCGTCGAAACGAGATTTAATAGCATTTTACATTGATCACAATTTAATGACAAATAAAAACAGCTGGATTCTATGCATAAATCGCATTAGATTTAAATTGATTCACTCAATGCAATGTCATATTTCTGCATAAATCGTATCCATCTCATGAGAAATGAAAATTGAGATGGAAATCGTTATTAAATGTTACAATTTGCATACAATGCCATTTTTCATGTGAATTACCATTTTTTCCCGGTTTGACGTCAGCAACCTGAAGTCTTTTCAATCTTATTTCATATGCGTATACATTGATTAACCAACTAAAAAGACCATTTGCGTAGAATAGTTCATTTCACCTTTATAAATGAACTTGAAATGTTTACGGCACCAACATATTTCGTATTGATTTGAATCCATTTCATTATGTAAATTATTATCTTTTTTTTCAGTCATATGATGTCGAAGTTTCTTTCGGAATTTTGCTATCGCTTTAGATGAATCAGTTTATTATCAGTTCCTCTTTGAGCACGCAGTTTAACGTCATTATTATGATGACAAAGTTTTGATGTCCCATTAATGAAACCGGAAAGTATAGGATAAAATTAAATTTTTTTCGTCACCTTTTTCGTTTTTCGTGAACAAGGAAAAAAAATGATCTTCAGAATAAGTCGGAGAATTGATATTTCGATAAATTTATTCAACCAAATTTACTTTTCGGCATTTTAAATGACGAACATTTCGTACTACGAAATCGAAACAAAAAATTGCCGCCCCGCTAAAATACGTTCGTATTTTTCTCGATTGATCGACGTGACATTTTTACGAAAGCTTCTTTGCCGGCCGTTTAAATGCATGCCATTATTTTGATTGCCTTTGTTGATAAAATGCCAGATTTTTGCGATAATTTGTGTGTAAAACTTGACATTGTTGTGAAGTTGATTGGCCGCTTTACTGGCCAGAAATCTTTTTGCGCATTATTTGATATTCATCTAGTGAGCAAGTAAAAGTGAGGTGAATAAATTTCTCGCGAAGAAAAATCCGTGCTTAAACATTTTCGGTAGATTTGACTTTAATGTGAGTTATAATCGCAAAAAATTATCTGATTTTCTTGGCTTGTTTTCTCAAGGCCCATTAGATGCTCTTCAAACATAGAAACGCTCATGAAACATAGTTGGATGGACTGCATACAAACGAACTTATTTATATTTATTTCCCTTCAAAAAACCAGCATGTCTAAAAAAAATGCGAGAAAAAAATGTTTTGCACGCATAGCCTTCGGCCATTGATCGCTTCATGATCCATTGAATGAAGAGGCAGGCATAAACAATTAAAATTACTTGCGGCCCATTTCACAATATGCCGAAATTAAGACCAAATATATCAGATATAATGGATTTTTCTGTCCAAGTTCACGTTCAAGTGAACTCACAAATTGCTCGAAACGCCCTGCTTATTTATTATTAAAGTGTTATTCAAACATTTGTACAAGCAATTTTGGATATTCAAACACTTGCACGGTTTCGTGTACTACTAATGCTGTGAAACTGCAAACGAAATCGCATTAACAACAAAATAGTAATAACAAATAAATGTACGCGATTTAATCACATCTCACATCAATCAACATAAAAATCTTGTTTGCAACTTTCTTATTTCAAGTGTGGGCCTACTGAAAACCACTTTTTGACTGAGGAAATTGTAATAACAATTCATTTCTATCTGCCGATTGATATAAAACCAATCGTCTTCAATTGTTGATGGTCATTACTTAAAAGAAGACGAAAACAAAGTCATAATACACATTCAAAACGAACAACTAGTTGAAATAATAACCACATTCAAAAATGAAAATCAATAAAAACTGAGTTAATAGTATCGGTTATTGGATTAATGATCAATTGAGAGAATATATGACCACATGCCACATGCAATAGCTTGCATCATTTATGGATATTAAATACCAGTCTAAAAGTGGATATTTGTTTTCATTTTGCCAAACACTTCGTCGTTCATGCGTTTTACGATTTTTTCATACGATTACCTTAAAGAAGTGTATGTGCATCATTTATGTTCCGATTTTACCCATTTTCAATTTTTTTTTTACTGTTATTACAATTTCATTTCATTTCCTTCCTATTCAAACAAGTGACCTGATGATGAAAAACAACAAAATGTAATATAAATACAGTTATTGAAATTCAAAAACAACAAAACATGCAACACTACGCGATTCACCCAGTAAAGAAGTATGCACAATTGTACATGTGTAGAACGGATGATTTTGAAAAGAAAAACAAATCACTTTCACTATTTCATCGAAAACGTAAGTAATTTTATCGATATTGTACAAGTGTTCGACCGAAACCGAACACAACAAAATGCATCAAACGAGAGAAGAAAAAAAACGAAGAAGGAGTTGGCCAAAGTCAGTGACTACTGCTAACATTATTATGCATACTATACACAAAAACGGTGCTCATTTTCTGGATTAATTCATTTCCATTCACACTGTCAAAAGGCCGATTTTTATTTCTATACACAAAATGCAAATGAGCTGCATTCAATAAATCGCTTATTAAATGAGATTTTTTTTATGCAAAACACAAAATCCCGTCCGTAAAAATTAAATCGTTCCGTTGTTTAACTGGTTCATTTACTGCACTTTCCACGTGTGATTTCACGTCTCATTTATTGAACATTTTCAATAATAATTTGTTTATGACAGCTTATATGCTTTTGATGTTTCGGTTGGAAATTCATGGCAGCATTTCGATGGATTTTATGACTTGTGCGTGTAGGTTTTATTTTTGATGGTTCGTCATCTTCGAAAGATTTTTTTTTTTTTTTTGAAGAAAAAAATTTCTTTTTCTCTCTTTCCAATTTCTCAATTTCACTTTCAATGGTTGTTCGCTATTTTGACCCGTTTTTTGTCAATCTTTTACCTCTATTCAAGAATCATGTGTACGGTTTTGGTTACATTTTAATCGCCACATATAATGGACAGGTAAAATTGTTTCGTCTAAGCCGATAATTAATGCGGCATGATGCTGAGAAAATATGTTTTTTCAGCGAGGCAATATCTCTCTCTCTCTCTTCTTTTTGAGAAATTGTCATTGGCCACTTCAACGGACTGATTAATTTCGATTGAAAAAGTGGTGTAATTAAATAAGTTCACAAGAAAAAGTTTGTCCATTGTCAAAGGCACACAATAACGACATCGACAGCGACATCGCGATGATGATATTTAACATTGTTTTAGTTGCGCTATAATTCAAGCGTAAAATGAAAGAAGAGCGTAAATATCTGAATGCGACCAAAATCGATCAGACATGAATTGAGTTGGTAACATTACGGTTGATGACTACAAAATTGGCGACCTTGTTTTTGATTATCCATATCGATAAGTTGGCGTGCTTGCGCATTCTTCATTCGTGCAAAACAATCGAAGGACGAATACCGTAAGTTTCACGTGATTGTTTCTGTGTTTTTGTTGCTGCTTTTTTCTTCGTCTTTTCATCACACAATATATGTTTCTCGGTCTCATTTACAGTGGAAATACCGAACATGAACAACGAAAAAAAAACAACAACAAAAAACATTCAGTCTTGAGAAAAGTGAAGTGATGCGTTTTATTGACGCTGTTTGTTTGCGTTGCTTTTTCAACTTTGGGTGCTCGCAATCAATCGTTTTTACGGGTGCTCGGTTGGTGCATAGATGTATGCATATGCATAAATAATACATAACGCACGATTATACACAAAATAACCGATATGATGCCATTGCAACATTGCATTAGGATTATAAATGAGCTTATTTAAATATTTATGTGTTAAATACGACGTGAGATTTTAATATACACGTTTAATGGATTTTCATTTGATTTTTTCTTCATTTTTTTTGTCTGTCTGTTGTTTAGTCGTGAATCTGTTTCTCTTCTATTTGCTTCTTCTTCTTCTTTCTTTTTTGTGTAGCAACAATGCAAAAATTGACAACGGCATTTACTTAATGTTTCAGTTGAGTCGATGTCTTGTGAGACATTGCTACCTTTAGT